CGCAACTTTCGCTTGTGAATGGGACTGACAATTTCAGGCTTCCAAAATGTTGGAAAGTTTATCGCTTGATGAAATTGTGAGAGAGTAGATACACCAAATACATTGCAGCTAACTTCCTCACCTTTGGGCGGATGATAGCATCACTAGGAAAAGTATGCTTGCATGGGGAATTCAGCCTTTCAGAACCTCTAGAGCCGTGAACGCGATACGGCTAAATCTTTGCAGTGGTGCAACGCGTGAGCAGCATGAGCCATGGAGTTGGCCTCTGGGTTTGTGTAGTATCCCTGACATAGGGCGTCGGCCTCGTCCGTTGCAGTTTGTGCTAGTCCACATGACCTGTGAAGGAGAGGATTCCCTAGCTACACTTTACGTAGTTTGTTAAAATGCATGTAAAGTAGTTGTGGGTTAGAAGAGAATTTCCCAGCTAGATCATGTTGATATTTTATTTTATCTTCGCGTACCAGGTTCACACAAGGATTCCGATGGATAATATAGGCATTCCATGTTTTGCATCAGGTGACTGTTCATGGTTTCTCCAGAGTGAATCTCTTGTGATCGCACACTTCCGCGTCCTCCTACGTATTACTGGCTAACTCTCACAACGCGCTGCGGCATGTCCCTCAGCTATCGGTAATAAGCTGAGAGTCCGGTGCTTTCCGCAGCATAATTTACATAACAGTTACAAGGGAACAAGAGCGTTGCAAGATCGCTGCAGTCCTAAAGAATAACTATCGATACCGTTTCGATTGTGACCACCTCCTTGGTGAACGCGAGATCCGGGATACTTGGTTTGTTCCCCATCCTTGAACTTGTGGGGGAGTAACGTGGTTGTAGAGTGATAATCCGGTGATCAACTTTTGCAGTTCCATTTTGAAGCTTTGTTGGAGAGAGGTTGGGGTTCCTAGGGCATGGGATTGAATTTATCAACCAGGAGAATGTGAATATGTGGAGGTGCGAGGATACTTTTCCTTGTGGAGGCTAGGCGATTTTCCGTATCGTAACGGGACGATGAAGGGCGGTACATGACGCCAACTAAACATGTGTCAGCGCGTCAACAAGCTGGACCTCCGGGTCATCGACAAGATCACTGCAATAATAGGGTAGTACACTGCCCCCTCTATCCGCTGGATTGTTGCGTAGAATGGTCATCCCAGTTAACACGATTTCGGCTTTACTTATCGGTTCACTCAACCATGCCTCAGATACCTTGACATCGAGACTTAACGTAACTGAAGCTATATGAAATTGACAGAAAAAGAATTTGTGAATTATTTGTTAAAAGATTGGTGGAAGGTGCAGACAGTAGCTTTAAGACTTGGCCAAACTAATGTTTTGAGAAATCACCGGCTATCGAGGTGGAGTTGGGATATATTTCTGTGCCGGACAGTTCAGGTCATGAAAACCCTGATAGTCACTTGCATCCTGCGGTGTTTCTCCGGATTTTATGACGGTTGTTTGATAAGTCGCTGCGCTGGATTCACAACGAGCGTTTAAGCTGAGTTTTTCACCCCGTTGCGTATTCAGTAGCCTTTGATGGAATCTCTGTTGGCCGCATGCTAGGGAACTTAGCCCAAGTATCTAGTAACGTCTATGCCGTTAGCTCACACTATAAAACCAACTTAAACCACCTAGGATCAAATCTTTGTTAACGTGAAGTAGTAGGAAGTGGGAAACACCTCAAGAAAGACTACGTTATTAGTGTGTCTCCATTGTTCCCGGTCTTGTGTCTGATCTACGGAAGCGGACCTTTGGGACTCAGGGACACCGTGAATAATGCTGCTTTCTTATCGTGTTTTCGACTTCTCTCTGGGTTGATCCTATTGTTTGAACGTTTCCTCCACGGGATGTCTAGCAGTTTGCGCACTCTGTTTGATGCATTGTGGAGCCGATTCTCAGACAGCAGAATGTCCTCTGTCTTATCCGCGAAATTTAGTGTTACTCGAAGTGAGCGATGCTTGCCATGATGTAATGCGTTGGGTGAGGCGCGACGCGTTACTGTGTAGTCACGTCAAATCAAAACAAGTTTTATGCATCTGGGTTGCTACACATTCAGCATGAACACGGGTGGTATTACAGCTGGAGTCTCATTGAGTACGATCGCCTGTCAGTTTACCCCCTTATTGTATTGGGTCTGGATCCGGGCACCTTGGTACACATAAGACTTAAGGTATAATGGTTGCACCTATTAGTTATTGCCTTAATAGCGCTAGGTCCTATTGCTTTTCGTGGACTTTTGGACGGCACTTGGGTTAGCAATCCATGTTGCGGTATCTCAGTTTTGTAAGTCCGGTAATTGTAGTAACGGGTGTCTTTTGGCGTTTACCTGGTAGCAACCGATGCGTATGATGTCTAGTTGTCCTTCACTGTGGACTGGATATCGTTTTAGGTCTTAAGTATGGCAAGTAAATTACTGGTTGCTACGCCCTTAGATGAAGTGGAGGCTGTTAACGACTTGTCCACTTAGATGCGTGAAGTGGGTTGAGGCAGTTGGAGACAGAGACGCTGAGGGGAGGTTAGTACGCCTGGTTCGATAGTTTCGCCTGAATGGGGAATTAGTTTGGGTCGTCCAAGATGAAAGCGTAGCTCCTTTACTTCCGCAGATGTATTCCTGGCCTTCATCACTTGCTCAGCTGCTACCATCAGTTTTCACACCTTCTAGAAAGTCATAACAGATAACAACGGGTAGAGATTTTCACACCTAGCAAAACCAAAACGCCACCCATTTTATGTTCTACTGCCTAGTTTCAAGTGGACTTATCTTTATAGATTTGGAGTAAATTATTTAGAGAGGCTAAAACATATTAGTCCCATTTTGATGGCTATAGCGCATAGGTCAGATTTAACCTTTGACTGGGTCACGTTCATTGTGGGATCGCGCAGCTTGATTGACATTAATCACAAGTAACCGTCCAGTTCTCATTGGCTCATAGCGCTGATGGGATGAATCACGGGTCGAGCGAGTGCGCCCTCGCTGGACTGCACTAGCCGGTAAGGTAAAGATGCGTGCTTAGTTGGTAGCTGGTCGTTGGAGTCCGCTCTGACTGGGCAGGGGTCTGGTTGTGACGCTGTGTGCTAGCGCCATGCACAGACAGAATAAGTGAGCAAGAATTACAATAAAACCGTGTTGAAGAACACAGTATTGTGATAAGCTTGGGATCGTTGGAAAGCCACATGACTTATGCGTCGAAGGATGTTACCCAACTGAGGATTGTACTCTAAGCGATAATCCTGTGCGCATGGATTTAAACAAGAGCTCATTTAAACGACTGGTGTTCCTGGCATAGTGAATCGTGGCGGAGAATTCCACGTAGGTTAGTTAGTTGACTGATGCTAGTACCCCCGAATCGAATGAACGTACGGTGACTATGCTGAAAGGACGTATAGAGGCGAAAATCCGAAACTATTAGAGCACGATAACTACGCGTTTTTCAGCTGGCACACACAATCACCCTTCTTATACCGAAGTCTTGAGTATCGGAGAAAAAGCGATACCTGCTAAAAACCTGCACGTGCTTGACGCAGAGTAGTCAGCAGAGAAAGATAAGCAGTAAATAATTTTACAGCACACATGCCAGTTATCGGACATTATAGTTAATACGATGCATCACTGAACACGAAGAAACTGGCAAGGCTGATTGGCAATCTTATCAAAGAAGAGCTGTGAAACAGGTAAAGTTTAAACGTAGCATCAAGACGCACGTGATCTTTATAGTAGCTAAACACGTAATCATTTCTTACCCTGACGCCAATGGTCTTATTTCTCGACTGTGCGCGAAACTGTTCCAACATAGGGAAAGATCACCAGATATACAGTATCTTTTTACAAATGTTGTTAACTTAAAGGGGACTGTCGATGGGTCCCTTCAACATTTGGGGGTGGTAATATGTATGCTATTAGGTGAATTAACTTAGAAGCACTAAATGCTGTAAGAGTTGACCGAATGCAGAATAACAGTAAGGTGAGATGTCTTGTGGAGCCACTTGACCCTAAAGTGTAGTTATAATGTAGTCAGAAAGCTAAGGCGCTGAGAACTGATTTACTATCAAGTGGGACAACGGAATTCGTTCATCTATGCAGGCTTAGCGTCAGAGTTGTAAGGTCGCAGTGATCATTTTCCTGACTTCAGGGTTAGGTTTGTACCCCCAGCCGAACTATTTCGTTGCAGACGTTTCATCCCCAATCGAGGAGGCTTCGAATCTGAACAGACAACCAGCTTCACTGTATTGCTAGCGTACTGGAAGCTTAGCGAAGATTATTGATGAATTCAGCTAGCATGTTAGAAATTTGCCTGTTTTTGACCGTCCTAAATTGGGCATTTTTGAGCCGTCTTCGCTAATCTGCAGTTAGCAATACTTCGATTTAACGGGCTTATCTGCTTATCAGTATATCTCTGCATGAAAATCTGTGGCCAAGAGGACTTACTGGTGCAGAAAATCTAGGTGATCTGTGATGGATGAGGATCTTACGGTGGCACATAGTGCAGTCCTTCATATATTCTAATGAGTATAAGGATTAGATGTACACCAAAATGGAGTTAATATTTATGGAAACGGGCTTTATCAATTTAATGGTTTGATAAATAACCGATGGCCTTTAACAGATCGCTGCTTTAAGCATCAAGCACAGGTTGACACGGTAAACATAACTGATTCATTTGCTCCCGTAAACTGTATTCCCTTTGTTATCTCCCAAGAAAGAGATTTTATTTGCTACGTTAAGGCAACAACTCATGCAATTAGTTGAGCTCATATGTAAAAGGAATTTGGTGATTCCATAGAAGGAAGGCTGACAGCACATACTCTACCTGACACATTGACATACAATGTGAGTGTTTAGAACGGAACAAACCTTTTGGTATAACATTTTCTTAAGAGATATTTAGTCGATATGCTTTAAAACTAGTAGGTCTACTTAAACAGTTAGAAGAGAGTAAGAGATGTAAAAGCAAACAATTCACGCCTTTTCAGATTAGAAATGAAAAGCGCGTCGCGCAGCTCACTGAAGGCTGTGATTGCGGGAGCCATTACTTCCCGACTTAGTGATCGTTGTTCTGTCATACTTTGACGCTAATCCTTTGGTTTCTTTTAGCTGCGCAAAATAAAGAAAACATATAGGAAGTAAATACCAAATCGCAAAAAGTCGACGACGTTATGTCTATGCTTCTCCCGACTAATAAAATGCATATATATACATGTATATAATGCATTAATTTGGCGGAAAAATGAACTGTTTTAACATGTCGTCTTGATCAAAAGTAAGGTAATAGGTTTGTTTAGCACATTAAGCACACATATATAGTTACCAATTTATCATACACAATAAAAACCACCGTGCTGATTTCGCATGTTTATCAAATTAACTTCCCACGTGTTTCACGTCACCGGATTTACCGTTGTGGTCTGGGGTTGGCCTACTTAGATAGTCTTGGCAGCAAACTACATTCACAGAAACGTGACGTGGCACGCAACACGTGCTCACGACGTGTTAAACCTAAACATAACCGCTGAGTGCAAATCGTGGTGTGGAAAGCAGTGCCAAGGGTATGCGAATAGATGCGGGCACCGCATCGGGGTAGTCGGTGTAGGAAATATAATCAAAAAGTAAAATTACGTGATCTTTTTGAAGCAAAAGACTGCATACATTTAGCCCATCAACCATGAGCTCCTCGGTGATGAGCACTAGATTTAACCTTGATGGCTTATTCGCTGTTCTGAACCTGGTGGGACTGGAGACGTGGTTTTATAGGGCTGTGCTAGCGATTAGCTCTTGTACATAGACCGTGAAGTTTTCCGCCTCGATCTTTGGACTTTCCAGATCATGGATTTTGTAAGAACTTATCATGAGTAAATACATGTATTTCTGATTTATAACCTTACAAATGCAGAGAATAGTATGTGGTCCATCTCCAGCGTGGGTTAGGTTGGTCGGTAAACTACGGGCGCGAGGCATGTTTCGTCGTACTTCTACCACAGTTTACACAAAAGTAGATCGGTGGCACACATTTCAGGATCATGAATGAGCTCAAGACGGCCCCTAACCTGGCCTGCTGTTCTGGAGAAGTAACATACCGAGTAGTGCGATCTCAAAGTCCGTAATTTCAAAGCTCTGCCACCTTTCGGTGATCAGTATGGTATCTTGAGGCTCGGAAGCCTGACGGTGAAGGTGTTCGACCAACTTACTAATAAGACCATTTGTGTTAGTGTACAAGCAGGTCAGTATCTCAGTAACCAAAAGTGACTCATTGTATGTTGGACTAAAAGTGGAAATTGTAAAGACAGTTTTGGGGCCGACGATTAACCGTTTTTAAGGAGTCGTTGACCCTTGAAGTTCGCTTAGGCTAAACGACTGCTTTTGCCATGATGGTCTCTTGTGTTTCTTATTATTCCCTCGCATACTGAGGTGGCCATTAAACTAATCTCTTTACAGAGCTGTAGGAAGCGAACATTGAATAAATTGGTTGTCTTCAACGAATCGTTAGCCACCTTTGGCCGTGTACCAGCTGTCTTTAATAGAATTTACGTAAGCAGCATCTTACGGAAATTGGACTAGTTTTTCATTGTAAGCGGTATCCTTAGCTCAGACTGAAGTAACCCCTTCATCAGCAGTAGACCATTCCTCTTGTAGTTAGGGGTACTAAAATTCTTGTCAACCGCTTTGAAACGATATTGTCGAAAGAGAGTTCTTGGTGGATGTAACTCTATTGCTCCCGGTCGTGTCTCCGCTTCCTTAGAGGAAGATCTTTGAAGCTCAGGAACAAACTAAAAAATAAGTATCCCTTTTTTGTTGGCATTACGAACTACATAACGGTTGGTTTCCAGGGATGTCCGAAAGTATGTGCCCCTTGGGTGATGAGGTACGGAGCCGAATCAAAAGCAATGGAACGGCCTCTGTGTCGTCCGTGGAACTCCCTGTCACGCGGAGAATTTGAGGTTCACCGTAACGCACTGAATTTAGGTGACGTGGGACCTGTCATAGTTTCGTATGCTCAACCGAAATGTTCGTTGCGCCACAAATGAAATTCCCTTGAGTACGGCCGTTCATCAGCTTCTCCTTTATGGTACTGGACGGTGATTCTGGAAAGTTCGTGCACGCAACTTGTGAATCACCATAATGTATTCTATTAACTGGAGGTTTGAAGCTATTAGTGGATACAGTTTTTAATGGGATATCTGCTTTTGGAGCGTGCTTCAACTTAATGTTGCTCAATGCTGCTGCCGGAGTCAAGAAGTGTTCTCCTGACGGGTGCATGGAGGCAACTGATGCTTGCGATGACCGGCATTTCTCGAGCTTGGGCAAAATTGGGCTCGGATCTATACTCTACGCCAGTGAACTTGATGTGGGTTGCACTGCTAAAAGGAGTGGAAGAAGGCATGCTAGATGCTTGTCCGTTTATGGAAGTGAGATAAGCCAGAGAATTTGGAAACACGGACGCTGCGGTGAGGTTGTTGCTTCTGTCTCTGTTCTTCAGCCTAGTGAGGGAGCTTATGTTGGCTAAATGTTGTATTGGGTGACTATATTTACTTCCGTAGGTGTGTTCCTAATATTCTATAGAGGTTCTACTGTTTCAGTCACACTATCTTAGTTCACCAGCACGCATGTTTAGTTGACAACTGCAAGGACTTGACATATTGGATAAAGCCCAAATGCGTCAACGACATTAGGTATTTCGTTAAATACTTGGACAGATGTTTTCCTATAATATTCAGATAGAACGATCTAATGCAATTGACAAACGTTGCCCCGACATTTAGGACGTTACCATAATTCTCTAAAGAGAAAACAAAGCGTTGCTCCATGTTTAGAATGCTGGCTGCATTTTTCGTTGGTAGCAAGGTCCATTCCAGCACTCACTGTAGCGCGCACACAAGTTTAGTACATTTCCTGTGGGCTTGACTTGCACGTGTTATAAAAACACATCAAAACATTCACAAGGGTTGAGGTAAATGATGGCCAGCAGATTGTGGGCGTCACCCCTTTTCCTGGTAGCACTACAGTGTTTTAAATTTGTTAGGAGAGATACTCGTAAACAAGACCTCCACGCACGTTAAACTTCCGCACATTGTTCGCCTCACTAAAAGCCCGAGCAATTCCAATACTTGGACGGAGATCCAGTTGACAAAGTATGTTTCTCGGCGAACACGCACACGGCTGCACCAACGTTTAGTGCGTACACACGCTTGGAAGTAATGGACCTCACTCTACCGATTACGGTGGGTGAACATAAAATTAAAGGCAGCATTGCAACTGAATCAGGCCACCAAAAATCCCACGATGCCATAGCAGGTGGATGGGGGTGGCACAAAGAGACAAAAGTTGAAGGATTGTTACAGTTAGTCTGAGAGATAAAGGCCGATTAGCGCTCACTTACCTACCTTGGCTCCCTTATGGGGAACGCCGGTCATTTACGGTTTCTGTCCCGAATACCCAATAGCCATCCAATGTTTAGCGAAATGCGCAACATGCTACTGCGCATATATAGACATGAATTTCTCTCTCCCCTTAATGGTGCGAACTTATGGAATTCTCGTCAGACGAGTGATTTAGTACAGGGCTCAGCTGAGAAAAAGCCTAACCTCTAAAGACACACCGACATGAGGCTGTTGGTCTTCGGGCGAGATGACTACAGACAGCCACAACGTGTTCCCAGCGTTCGTTATCTGTCGGCTAACTTCGCGCTGAGTGCTGAAGGTCACGGCCAACCGTAGGCGTTGGAGCGATCGATGGTTATCTCTGTGTGTCTCGCTGGCTACGCAGCGGTCCGCCTAAGCAAACAAAACTGCCATGTGAATGTGCGCACGTGATGGCAGCTCAGGTGAGGACGAGGTTAGGCGTCGCAACTCTTGTCAATATTATTGAATCACAGGTAATGGAGCACGAGCAGACAATGCAGTCGGGATCACGTAACGTTCCTGTTACAGCGCGCGCTGATTATTCGGCTGTACGGTGAATGCGGTTTAAACGCCGCATCAGCTTCAAGAAAATACAATGCAACGAACGCAGGAATGCGTCCCCTCACCGCCCGGTATGTGCTTAAACTAGTGAAGATGTTCGAGAAAACTGGGATTGTAACATGAAGAGAACCGGACCGCCTCGCATCACCACGAACGACTGTTTGGCTTGCGCTGTAGTCAGTGAAGTGTCAAAAAGTCCCGATCTCAGCATCCGTCGAATCGCACAACACTGTGACACGACCCGATTTGCGGTAAACCGGATATTACTGGAACGAAAATTTCGGAGATTCCGTGCACTTCAAGTGTAGGTTTTGAATCCATGCGATCCGGAGAAGCGGCATGAATTTTGCCGCTGGTTTATGGATCACGGGGATATTCGTTCTGTTATCTTTACAGATGAGGCATTGTTTCGTCTGCATGGAACAATGAAACATTACTGTTTGGCTACCAGCAACGCACGAAAATTTACCGCACCACGTATGCACCACAGTGTGAAACTGATGGTTTGGGCCGGATTAACAAGCCAGAAAATCTTGGGCCCATATTTCTTTCCCGGGAATGTGACCGGTAGGTTGTTGTTTTGAAGTACTTAAGCCGTATCTTTTCCTAGCATCATCGTATTTGGAAATGCTTCAGACATTTGTGCTTCCCCAGTTGGAGGCCGAAGGGGCATGCAGTACTAGTTGGTGGCAGCAGAATGGTGCACCTGCACCTTCTTCTAAAACGGTGCGTGCTTACATCACCGACAGATTTGGCCGCCATTGGATCGGACGCGGTGGACCAATGGAGTGTCCTGCTCGCTCACCAGATTTGAACCCCATGGACTTTTTTTCTATGGGGCTATCTGAAGCGGCGAGTGTACAAAACAAGGCCGCGTACATTGGACCAATTGAAAGAAAATGTTGTGAACGAATGTCGCGTAATCACGAGGGGTACATTGGAGAAAGTGCTCGCCAATTGCATCAAGCGGTTGCTGCACTGCAAGCAGAATGCTGGCGGACATTTTGAACATATCCTTCACTAGCATAAATGATCGTTCCAATACATTTCTGTTACTATACTTATCCTCTGTCACAAATGTGTTAGCGACTAAACTGGTCCGTTGG